ACGATACATCTTCCCCTGTTTTGTGCGCTTTAACCATTTAACTAGTTTTTATTCCCCAAAACTATAGGGTTTTCGAATTCGTGCCTTAATTGAGAGTAGGTCTAACCCATTTGCACCCTCCGGTGACATTTTGCTCGTAGCATTTTGTTTAAGTGAGCGAAATTTCAAGGTCACGAACCATCACCGATTCCCATTTTTTACCGGTTTACGCGACATAAAACACGAAGTCACAATCTAGCATATTTTGGCGTTCTTCGGTGTTCTTTTGGAATAAAAAACATTTGAAGACTACCTACTGCAAATTTCACCCTGGATGGCCGGTTGTTGATGTTTGTTTATCGTAAGCCCCTCAGATTTCACAAATGCAAAATATATTTTGTTCGGCAAACCTTGTCACAACACATTTTTTCGTGAATCTCAACTTCCATTAAGTACAACATTGTTAGACAGCAGCATGAGCTGTGCAGTGGCGATGCGAGGGCCATTTCTGTTGATGATCCCTACTCTCAGATATGCATAACTAGCCTGTAGATAAGAAGGCGTCACGAAATAGCTGAAAACGCCATTCCTATTATGAATATGACGCTCTATAGGTGGTGACCGCCATAAGGTGGTCGCCATGATAACGGTAGCCGTTTTCACTCACCTCGACTACTTATCGTAATTGCTGGATCTGTGTCTATGGGCGACGCTGATTATGGGGCCGCACCTACACACAGTAACATAATCCTATGGCCGATGACGGCCTTTCATGCCCATAACCATACGCGAAACCGCTTATCTCTGCTACCTATAGTAAACACCAGGCCGGTTTCCATGCGGTTCGGTAAAAATAAGGCCTCAACTACACGTGGTAGCCTAATCTGGTGGCTTGTTATACCCATTGCTGTGCTTGACGTCGCCTTACCTGGCCACTTATCGTACCTGCTAGTTCCGTGTCCATGTGTGGCTTTGATTGGCCGGTAATTTAATCCAACCCAGTCTGTGGTATTCGAGACCGTTTGCGTTGTCGCTTATCTATGTGTAGAATGATTCCAGCAATCTAATGAACCACGTCGAGTTACGCGCAAAACCCCGAAAGCCAATTCTTTCAAATGGGGGTTCATCTACAAATGGGGTACTATAAGTACAATAATAAAATGATGAAGCTTTACAAGCCTCAAATCGTGGGATTATGCCTGCTTCCATACACCGGTTTGGGAACTTCTAATTCCTAACGGGCCTCAAAGTTCACGCCGACTCAAAGCCACATGTTTACAAGCTAGCGAAACCACGTGTGGAATTGAACAACGCGTCTGATGACCAAGTCAAAGAACGGTTTATGTTCAGGTCAAAAACAAGATGGGTGGTATAGGCACAAAGCAAAATAACAAAAACGTGGAATCGCGTTGTACAATATAAAAATAGAAGGAAGGAATCAACACTGTGCTACGTTTGATAAACACTGGACCAATATTTATGCGAACTGACGAATACGAGGCCTAAACCATGCACACACCTAATCCAATGACGAAAGACGGACTTCAAATTCACAACTGCACGCGATATCGCCTATCTTGATTACTTTTTGAGATTGTTAAGCTAGTACCTATATGCGACGCTGATTACTAGGCCTCAACTGTGCGCAGTGTCCTAATTTGATTGCCCGTCATTTCCATAACTGTGAGCGCTTTCTCTTATATCTGCTACCTATATCATCATCGACAGCATGACATAAGTGTTCAACACTGCTCTTCACTGCCGTACCTGCCTGCTACCTATAATAAAGACCAGGCCAGTATCTATGTGGACCGATAGAAACCAGGGTCCATCTATGCACGACATCTCAATCTAACGACCAACAACGGCCCGTCATACTCGTAACTGTGGTCGATATCGCCTACCTTGGCTACTTATCGCAGTTGCAAGGCCTGTGTCTATGTGAAACGTTGAGTATGAGGCTTAAACTGTTCCCAGTAGCTCACTTTAATGTCCAACGACGGCCCGTCGTACTCATAACTTTACTCCACGTAACCTGCCGAGGTTACTTATAGTAACTGCTGGGACCGTGCACATGCTCGTAGCTGAATATAATGTCCCAACTATGCGTAATAGATTCATCCAACGACCAATGGCGGTCCCTCATATTCATACGTCGTCCAGTTGCCAACACTCCATGCCTGAAAAATATACAACCATCTTTAAAAAAATCATGTTTCACTTTATTGGTTGCACCGGTACAAACAAATTATGTAGTTACTCCACATCTCAGTTTTTACTAGACGGGCTGTCTTATTACCTCGCTTGAATGGCAGTAGTGATCCACCGCGAACCCTCGATGGGCCCAGGGATATCCTAACTACAATGGCGACCATAGAAGACTAATCCAAGATATTCATGTACGAGGCTGTCCATGAATCCAAGTATGGCGTCGCGATGACGGTACCGCGACTACCATACCCAGTCTGGTGGCTCGCCTGCAGTTTGCTATATCTCTAATATTTCCCAGAAAAGCGCACTACCTAAAAAACCGTTTCAGTCCGTTTAACTTGTGCAAGAACTTAAAAGTAGTGGCCATCTTTTTGTGCCGTCTGCTTGTTCTGCTCACAATCCCGATAGTTCACCCAGCGACCCTATTGGTGCTTCGATATGTCGGTGAAGTCAAACCTTGCCCGAAGCCAGATCAAACGTATGCTAACCATCATTGAAAAACAAAAATCTTACTAACTGTGACGAATTCCTTGACTTCGGCGAGACACTTGCCGGAACCATAGATGAATTTTCCATATCCAGGTCGCGAATGGCTTTTCCAATTTGGCCGTGCGACAACGGTCTAGGCGTGATTATCGTCTACGTCGTTTTCAGATTATATCCAAACTTAATGCCTCAGAAAACACGCAGAGAAACGAGGTTTTCCACAAAATTTCACACCATTTCTATGAAGACAATGCTTCAAGTCACCTGCAGCCATTAAAATACAAATTCCGCGCCCACAGTGGACCCTGACCTCCTTTAAACAACTTCTAATAAAACTGCGGCCGCCTGGCTAGATCTTCATGGCCCGAAGAATTACAATCAAACGGTAAAACAATATGTTAAAGTTTTTTTCTTCGAACTACGGTTTCTGAGAAATTTTGAGTGTGCGTCTGGGAAGCTGTCCTTTTATTGGTTTGCGCACAAGTGCAGTTTGAACGAGCGCGCTCCCTCGCTTTTGCACAACCAAGTAATCAGAATGCTGGCTTTTAAAGGAATCGCGACGCGCGGTACATTCGAAATCGGGTTTGTTTTTCCCTCGTGCATGTTTGCGAAAGAACTTTTTCGTTTTTCAATCTACTCACAGAGTACACACGAGTAATTGTTGAATTTTATTACTCTTACAAAACATTTGGGAGATAACCCTTGATATTTTGCGCACACTTCCTACTTTATGTCTAGTCCTAAACGACAATTTATACCGATCACCCTCTTCACCCATTGATAGACCACAACAGATGTGGGCGAAATGGCTGCCCGTCGAACGTCAAACGCGGGATGCAATGCCACACCTGCAAAGCCTGGTGACGTTTCAAATTCACGGGTTTGCAGGACTACCATATAAGCCGACTAGCTAACTCACCTGACCCGTTTGTCTGCGCCAGCTTGCTCTACGTTAAGGGTTCAATGCATACCGCACTGAAAAGGAGAGCCCCCCAAAACGGTACCCAATCCCCAGTACAGATTCAGAAAGACCACTGTCAGTGTTCTGCTTTAATGGGGATACTCGACGCGAACTTAGAGCGTCTTTCAAAGGCACTGGAGGACTCAGGCGCTAAGAATGCAATGACCTAGACGAATGTTGACAAGGAACTTTCTTCGCTGAACCAATACCTCGCGATATCCATACCGAGCCCTATGGCTGCGAATAAAGTAATACAACATTCTGACGCGGCTATAAAGACCGCGACAGCGCCTCTAGTGGACAGGCGCCTAAGGGAGAGAAGAGTGATAATCTGGGGGTCATTCTCCGGAAACACCACGCCAGTGAGGCTGGCACAATCAATCCTTAGGAATGTCCTCACCAAGCCCGACCAATCGCTCCATGCAGAATGGTTACGCCAAAAGGGATGCAAGCGAACTCTTGGACTTCTCGTCACTCTTTCTTCCCTATCTGATGTACAGGAGATCTTGGAGTCGGCTTGAGGCATCCAAAAGTCCAATCCAATGATCAGGCGCCTATCTGAGGATCGTTCTCTAGACGCGCGTAAGCTTCACCATACCAGGTCAGGAGTGGAAGCACGAAAGAGGCACAAACCAGACGACCCCGAACTCATGACCAAGCTGATTGTGGTCATATCCCGTTGTGCTCTCGAAAGCAGGCCGATGAAACCAGCTGCGTCTCCGGACAGCAGTTTTTACTCGACCACCACAGGCCTCTCGCCCACCAAAAGCAGTGATGCCCTGGAGGAGACAAACCTCACATGCAAACAGAGCCCAAAGTACGTGGAGCTATCAACGCTTATCTCCGTGAATGCTGCAACCATGCACTCCTCAACAAAGCCACATTCTCTGAAATGTACTGAGCCAGATGTGCGGGGACAAGCAGGGAAGCCAATCTCCGGCTCCACTCCGTCAAAAGCGGCCTCTCTGCTTGTGAACACAACCGCCGCCCAAGACCCCGACAACCTAAGCCATAAACATGACCACAGCCATCTGGAGAATCCCTCGTAAATCCAGTTCCCCACGCCGATAGCTGGCGGATCGGGTGTCTACACAAACACCAAAGAAGAGTGACTGCAGCCAGACAGGCCACATAAAAATCGCCAGATTAGAAAACTGCTAGCTGGCTTCAACGTGCAGTCCTCCGCGTAAACGAGCCCCTTGGGATCGCTACCAAAGTCATTACTTCTTGGTTCTTGATGCCACCCAGCGCCCAAGGCCACTGAGAGACACTTTTCCGGCCCAACCGCGCCAAAACACCCAAGAATCCAGGAAGGCGAAAGCTTCCCGCAACTATTCGATCAATAGCAAATCTGGTCGCTAAAATGGAGGTGATGAAAAAGCTACAAACAGCAACGGTTGAAATTTTCACCCACGTGGAAAAAGACTTCGTCCCCCAAAGCCAAAAGACC